GATTCTTGCCGCTACTGCGACAGGAACAGAAACCCCGCGGCATATCCTCTTAGAATGTGACGCGGTGTCGAGAAGAAGGCCAACACACCTGGGGGCGCTGTGGCCGGAGGCTGTAGACATTCACTCTCTACAGCCCTCGAAACTGCTTCGTTTCCCTAGTGCTCTGGGCTGGACGAGGTGGTGTGATGAGCTCTGAGGGCACAATAAACCTAAGGTCGCAGTGCACATCCTCTAAAAAATCTATCTATCTATGAGACCCTGTGGGAAAAAGGAAGCCTCAACGTTGTTGTAGCGGCTACTAAACCCCGCTCGGGTCGACTCATCGATCAACATTGTCGTCTGTTTCAGCTAAGGGGAGGCCCAGGAAGTGCGCGACTTCAACAGGATCTGTCCATAGGGACAGGGGCGTTAGCTGGGTGGGGTTCTGGGGGCATGCGAAGAGGTGGCGTGAGCTGTGTGGCGGCTCTCCGCATGCCGGGCATTGGTTGGGCACATCCTCGTTTATTCTGCTCAGGTATGAGTTAGGCCTGCTGCAATAGCCAGAGCGAAGTTGGGCTGTTGTTGTGCGGGTCTCCCGAGGCAGACAAAGTTGTCCCGTCCGCGCCAAGTGGTTGTGTGCCTAGGACGGCATTCACAGGTCGAGAGTCTATATTACTTGAGATTGACTCCCTGTGAATGCCGTTCACGGCCTGTCTGTATACAGTTGGCTCCTGCGGTGGTTTGATGAACCTCTGGACTTCTTCTTCTTCTTCAAAGAGATGACTCCTGACGTGCCTTGGCGAGGGCTCTTCTGCAAGCAGCTGTCTATTTGGGAGACTACGTCTATAGCTCCCTACTGGAAACTGCTGGCAGAGCATTGTGTTATGCTCCTTGATGGGGAGCATCTGGGCCTCCTCGTGTAGGTGGTGTTGGACGACATCAGAATTGGCCGGCCTTGTATGTTGCCAACAACGTTTCTTTGTCTTTGCCCCAAGTGCTGCCGGCCAGCGACTTGAGGACATTGTTGCGGCTCTGTACTCTGTTGACAGTTGCGGTTCTATGCACCGAGAAGGAGAGCATACTGTGGAAGGTGAATCCGAGGATTTTTGGATTATTCACCGTCGGTATTGGTTCGCCATCGACGTGAATACCCAGTTGCAGTTTGACCTCCTTCGCCCGCGTAGTGAATAAAGTTGCCGAGGATTTTGTAGGGGAGAGGGTAAGGCTCCTTGCAGTGAAAAAGCGAGAAAGCTTGGCGAGATAACCGTTTACACAAGTCATCAATTCCATTTCCAGTCGCCATTATCGAGCAATCGTCAGCATAATAGACAATAGGGGCATTCTAAAGTGACGGGCGGGAATTTTAATTCGTGTTTGCTCAAACTTTTAGTAAATTCTCTTTAACCATTGATTTGACAAGTGTCAAGTTGTTAACAGTACTCTGCTGTTGAGGGTGTATCGTACAGCACACCCTAATACGAAACTGATAAAGTATAAAATTTAATTATATAACTTAGGCAGAAATTTAACATTTTACAAGCGTGACGGGTGGGACAGCGAGTAAGATAACAGTTTAATACGAAACTGATAAAATATAAAATTTAATTATATAACTTACGCAGATATTTAACATTTTCCAAGCGTGACGGGTGGGACAGCGAACACACCCGCTTCTCTGAGTTGCTGAATTCGTTCCCCATTTTAGACAAACTATAAATAGTTCGTGTATAGCGACTTTCTCGAATGTCGTTAAAAGAATGTTAAGTACCATTTGACGCTTTAATGGCATTATTATATTTTAAAATTAAAAAAAAAACCTTATTTTTACTTGTAACGGGTGGGACACCATTTTGTGACGGGTGGGACGAGTCACTTTTCAGGACACATAGTTCGTGAGTAAAGTGAACACTGCTGATTTGATGTTAATATTTATTATATTTTTAATAGGGGGTCCTCATTTAAAAAAAGGGAAACTAAAGAATTTGTAGTTACATTAAAAAAATACATTTTTTGCTGTGACGAGTGGGACATCCAACAAGTTTTTTTTTTAATGCTTATAACTTCTCACCATAAATGTGTTTTTCTAATAACTTACCACCATTGTAAAGCTCATGAATTGTTCTTTCTTTTTGGATAATAATTTTTTGCATTGCCACCTTTAGTAGATGAGGAATACCTCGAAAACTTGATGCAAACATATTACAGTATATTATTTATGCATTTATAACAATAAAAAAGAGAACATAGTGAAAAATAAATGGATACAAATCTTTTTCTAAAGAATTACTCTACCAGCTTTACCGTTTTTACAGATTTAAACACAATTTATGTAATACATTTTTTTTTTGAGGTGTCGTCTTCGCTGGAATGGCCCAATAGTGACTCCCTCTTGTGGTTGAGGGAGTTTTGAAATGTAGTAATTAAACAATAGTGTGGATAGGACACCACCCTGTGGCCTCAATTTCTTGTAGTAGGATGGAGTGGCTGACACTGTCAGATCCAACGCTACAAGGGCTGTTCTATCATAGGGGCGGTTACGGTTTAGGCCACGAGTGGATCCAACGGGAATGAAGCGGGCTGCAGCTCTAGTGAAAAACCTGCGGAACTTACGCTCACCTGCGTGGACAATCGGCTTTGCTAAAGTTGGTGTAGGTGCGGTGTTCCGCAGAACAAAGTCAGCAGGTTTATCGATCGAGATGACTATGCCGAATCGTGTCAGCCAAGTATATTCACCGGCGATCATTTGTCAGGCTTGAATGCCAAAGATCATAGTGCGCGTTGAAGTCACCAAGTACCATATCGTCCCGTTTCTGCGTTAACCTCGTATCTGTAATAGAGTTATTCTAGAGAGTGTAAGAAACAAAGCTAATTTTCTTCTCCTAGGATACAATAAACGCATTTTTTATTTAATATTTCTGATTCTACTAACACTAGTGAGCACCCACATAAGGTCTTTGTTTTATTTTCAAATGGTGTGACACTTAAATTGCTGTTATAAGTGGTAACATTAGTTTTCCCAAAAATTGCAGATACGTGGTTAAGGCAGAAGCGTTCCTATTTCAGGGTGCTCCTGACCGGAAAGCAATTCCCTCACATTCTTGGATGGTATCTCTGCGGTCTACGTCCGCTTCGATAAGACGATACTACACGGTGTGGTGCGTGATAAACGGTAAGCCTCCACCATTATATCGCGCACGATCTCGACGGTGCGCTTTTTATCTTCTTCTCTTGGACCGCAGCTATCACTATACCATGTCGACCTATAAAGACCGTTATCTCATCCATCTTGCACTGAAGTCCCTTACAGTTAAATTTTAGGATCTTTGTGAGCATTGGGAGACTGATTACAATGTGTAATGTAAGAGAGATGCGGTGTTGCGATAGCCTACCGGCCATATGTTGTGCGTGGTGATGCCTTGTGGTGGTAGTGGGCGGCGTCGCAGAAGGTGTTTGGAACTGAGCAGCTCCATATGGACCTATTTAGATGCCCTTCCAGTCTCGCATGGTGCGCACTACTGAACATGCCCTAAAGTGGCGCCAGCCAAGGCAGGAATTGCACTTGAGGCGTTTGTTGTATGTTGCTCACGTGGACTGTGGTGAAGAGGCACTTGCTGGAAGCAGATTTATAAACTTTTCTTATAGTGAAGTGGTACATATTTTACGCTTCGTTTTCCGCATAAACATCCGCAGTCTAATCATCGCCGTCAGAGACTATCGTCTCCTAAATGCCGCAATTGGAGACTAATCACCACTTATCGTAGACGCTTCAGCTAACGCGAGACCTGCATAACTTTGGCACAGTTTAGGTCTGGATACTGCAGCCGACTAAACTCGTATCTATCCAGACTCGACCTCGACATACAAAATATAGTATCTCCCCCCACGACATCAGTCACCTCTACAACCGTCCACTCAAACCTACTCAGCTAAAACCCCTACCCCTTTGGTCTAACCCCGACGAAACAGCTTGGTTGAGCTTGACGACAACGATTCATTCAACACCTTCATTATGTGATCTTATGTAGCAAAGTTGTCCTTCATTAATTAAGTTTCAATCGTTTTAGAACCCGTTAAACTTTTTAACAAACATCATTACGTCCCTACAACATTCGTGTCTACTTTACTGGAATTACCCTGATTTATGTCTGGCATAGAATTTTAACTTCCCCCACAACTAGGTAATTCGGGAGCGCTTTATGCTATTACAATAAATAACACCGTTTTTCGTTCTTTCTTTTATCGCTAATTCCACGTGAACAAATCGTTATCATAATTGAATTCAAAAACAAATTGGGAAACATTGTTTTTGTTTTACTTTATAATTATTGGGAATATTTGTTCACATGGACTTTGCAATAAGGCCGAATGTGAAAGTACCTTCTTGCGAGAAACTAAATACTAGGTTCATTCCTTATCTTTTTGGACTAAAATCTGAAAAGTGTCAAAATGCCAGAGCGTAAGCAAAATGCGCTCACTAAAAGAGAATAACAGGAAAAAGTAAAGGAACGCAAAAAACCAAATTTTTAGTCCAAAGAATGGCAACAACAAAACTAACGTCAAATAAGAATGGAAATGTATGTACAAAACACATTCACACAAACACAAGCACAATAAACACTTACTATATCAATTATTTTTTGCCTCCTTCCAATGTCAATTCACTGTTTTACTTTTTAGATTATTCTCACTTTTTGTGTATTCTTTAATTTCCGTTGAGTTTCAGTTGAGTTTAACACTTTTCAGGATTTTGCCAGAACAAATTCTTCTGACTAAATCTGACTACTTCGGACTGAAGAGAGTCACTCTCACTGAGTGTTGCTCTCTCATTTTTGCTGTCATTTTCGAGTTAAGGAACACTTTTTGGACTAAATCTGACTACTTCTGACTTTTTCTGACTATTTCTGGGAGATAAGGAACGCAACTACTAGGGGTACATTTTTTTCTGGGAAATTTATTTCATTCAGCTTTTTGCAATATTACAAGTAATATTAATTTAAAATTTTTCTCTTGTCTTCCCGCAGTAAAACTCTTCTACAAGGGTTACGCGATCCGGAGCAAAGTTCATCGATTGGTGCTTCGGTAGTACTGAAATTTTTCATCCAACACAAAGGATCGGAGCTATTCCACGCCATCCCGGACCTCGTGAAAGAAAGTTTAAGTGTATGTTTTCGTATGCTAAATACATTTTTGAAACACTTATAATTTATTTATTTTAGGCTGTAAGAGATTGCGAAATAAATCGTGCGCGGTCTGGTGTGCTGAAGGCACTAGTGGCGCTCACAAAACATCACCCAAAGTTGGTGTGCTTCGAAATGCTTACTCAGCCATTACCCTATGAAAGGTAAGTGACGTCTTATCACCAATATATACATACATAAAATAAAGAAGAATAAGATAAATAATTTCTGAAATTGCACAGCAACATCGTCGAATATTGGCACCTTGTCGCCAATGATCCTGAACTAACGGCGGCGCTCCTAGAAAATTTCTTGCAAATATTAACTTCTTCGTGTTTGTATGAGCCAAGCGAACAAACTGCTGGCGAGCGCCAAAAAATTGCCAGCATACAACCATTTGCAATTTTCTGCGCTCTAAAAGAGATTATGCCCTGCAAGGACATCAAAGAGGTTTGTTAATCTGCTTTATATGGCTGGTCCCGAGCCGCTATCTCAACTGCTCGATAAACATCAAATTATCCTGCCTTAAACGCCGTGCGATGAACTATCTTGAGACACAGGAAGCATAGTTTGTCGGAAAGCGCTAAGTTGAAATAATAGTGTTTGGCTGAGTTTGTACAAAGTTGCAATAAGTAGTTCATGGAGTTAAGACTGTTCATCTCACGGCGCACAGTGGGGCAAAAAAAGGTTGCTGTGGACCAAATCAATTTTGAGAGCCCAAATATGAACCCATTTCAAGGTAAATAAAAGATAATTAAATTTCGCGTCGATCTATCCGTAGCGATTTTTTTAAGAAGCTCTGGTTTTTTATTTATTTATATTGAAAAATTAAAGAAAAACAATTTTTACATTTGAATGTTTCCACCTTTTTGGAAAATACTTGAAACTAATTTCAATTGTCTGCAATTATTTAAAAAATTATTCATTAACATTTTTCCATAGGATACATTTAATTAAAAAATGTATTTCATTTGTTTGTTGTTAACTCCATTGCTTCAGCAAAGAAAGATCTCCGGTTTGTGACCAGTAGCAACAAGCGCGAACAAGTAATCAGAGGATCTGATGCAACTAACAATCTATTAAAAACGTCTTCTAGAGCGACCCGTTTTCCTACTAAAGTTTTTAAAGTCCTTGTTCGAACTAAATCCGCTTCTCACTAAAGATTTTAAAGTCCCTGTTAGAACTAATTCCGCTTTTTATTCATTGACCAACCTTAAAATAATAAATAATTTAAGTTCGAAAGTTCTAGAATCAAACTTAACCAGAAGTATATGTTTTTGTGTTTAATTAAAATCAAAGTGAAATTTTTAAAACCAATTTATTTAAGAATGCGCAAAGTGCTGCTGGTTTTGAACTCGGATTCTTAATAAGGAAGGAACATACGTTATTGTAGTACTGTTAAATTTAAAAGCGCTTTGTGCATTAAAAAAAAAAATTTCAAAACTACATTTGCAAAAATAGAGGTTAGTTTAGTTTTTTTTTAACATAATTTTTTTAAAACACATATGTACTTCCAAAAACATAAAAAAAATTAACAAACTTAATTTTAAGTAATGGAAAAAACAAAATAACGCAATATAATACCGCTTTTTTACTTTTATTTGGCGGGACCAGGTCCCTAGAAAGCCAGGTTATCCCTTCCATTTCGTAGTAGTAAAAGTTGATTGGGACCAGGGATGTTGCGAATGTGGAATTTTAGACATCCGCGGATGCGAATGTAGGACGGATGGTATTGAAAATTGGCAAAATCGGACAATAACCACGCCTACCTCCCATATAACGGTAATTTTCAGAAATACGAAAACTGCGATATTTTAGTAACTACTGAAGATTATGCACTCAAAATTGATATTTACAATCACTTTTAGGCAAAAAATAAGAATATTATAAATTTTTGGAAAATGGGCGCTGCCACGCCCACTTATGATTGCATGTGTATACCTTGGGAACCGCTCCGCCAATTTCTCCCAACTTGACACAGTTGTTGGCCTTCACAAAACATACCAAACGGCTGAAAATTTAAAAAATCGGATAATAACCATGCCCACATCCCATATAACGGTAATTTAGAGAAATACGAAAGATTCGATAAACCAGTAAATACTGGAGCTAATTTATTCAAGATTGATGTTTGCAATAATTCGTTAGCAAAAAATACGCTTATAATAAAATGTTGCAAAATGGGCGTGACCCCGCCGACTTATGATCACATATATGTATCTCGGTAACCGTTCGATCAATGTGTACAAAACTCGGTATGATTATTGTGGCTGCCACATAGAGGCAAAACGTTGAAAATCGGACTAAAATTACGCCCACTTTTTCATAACGGTAAATTTCAGAAATACTTGAAACTTCGATATTTCGAAATTTAAGGACGCTAATTTTACCCAAGCAATCCCTTGAAAAGAAGTAACATTATTATTGAATTTTGGAAAATGGGCGAGATGCCGCCCACATATACATATCTATATAAGTTAATCTCATATCTAACTGAACGTTCTATCGAAGATGTTTGAAATAGGGGTAACCCCACCCCTGCTTACCATGTTGCGGTAGCTTTAGGAAAGGTGAAAATCATATATTTAAAAGTTTTTAAAGGGTCGTAATTCAGGGCCACTAAATAACAGCTCGCTCGAGGCGAAAACTTGAAAAACTTTAAACTTGACAAAATTGTAAATTCTTTTCGATTGACGCTGCACCAGTCGAGAGGATTTTCAGTTATATTTTTTTTTTTTTTATTGCGGTGCAATAATTCTTTTGTGAGAATTGCATCGGGCTGCAAATGTCGGATGTATCCTCCTGACTTTCATCTTCACAATCTAGTATCATGGCAAGATCGTTGTTTTCCAAAGAATTCTTCATTCTCATTCTTTTGGTTGTTTCTGAATTTGGAGAACCTGTAATGTCAACAACGTTTTTCGATTATAGTTTTTGTAATTCATTTTTAATCCTTTTTGCTGTGACTGGCCAGGTATACGTTTTATCAGTGCACTTGCACAATATTCCAGGGACCGAAAATAACAGTTATTTTTTACCAGTTAAACTTGGCCTAATATATTTTATTCCGAAATAAAAGTTTTTTCTGGATAATAGAAAAACAGCTTATCAAAATTAAACAAATTTAATATCGTGTGAAAGAGGACTGAAATAGTTTTTAAACAGAAATAACGAACGAAGGTTACCACCTCTATATTTTTTTATATCATTTAATACTAAAGAAATTTATATACCTGACCCAAGGTTTCTTCTGTGGTAATTAATTAACATTTTTTATTGAAATATTTTTCATTAGGTGGCTTTTCTCGTTTAGACATTGCAGTTTTAAAGCTATTTAAGTCCTCTTTCAGTTGATACCAAATTTGTTTAATTTGGATAAGCGGTTTGATTATTATCCGGAAAGGACTTTTAGTTGGGAATAAAAAATATTTGGCCAAGTTTAACTCGTAAAAAAATAACTGTTATTTTCGGTCCCTTCAATATCAAATAAAGTGATTTTGCGTCTATCGAAGCTGTGAAAAATATCATGGAAATTATGATTATTTTCGAAAATATCGAAGCCCTCCCTGATGTGGCTGAAGAGGGGACAATGAAAAGTTTGATGAAGTTTGAAGGTGAGTTTGTGGGTTTGCCTTTTTTTTTTTGATACTCCTGATCATAGGTATGTCCAGGGTAACTCTTCCAAAATCTTCATTGGTAACCATTAGAGGTGGCAGATATTTGCGTACCTGTGACTTTGTCACGGTTATTCAAAAGTCACGGGTGACTGCTGTGACAACTTCTAAAAAGTCACCGTGACAGACTGTGACAAAGGAACAGTGCCAATGATGTTTTGTTTTTGCGCCTTCCACAGTCACAGCCGCTGCTACGAACTGTGACTGTGATAAAGTAGAAGTCGCAATTATTTCCTTATAATGACAGGTTATTTAAGACTAAAATCTGATTAATGTTGTTGTTGGATATTAGAACTTCACCATTAGAAATGCGTGTGAATGGTCAGAACAAACGACAAAAATAGTCAGCGATGTCAAATAAATGAATAATGCCCTTAGTTCACTCGGTAAAAGATTTCTGTTTTGCAACTTTGTTGTTAGTGTTTTTGTCACAGTCACTGATGAAAATCACTTTGACTGCAAAGTCACAGTCACAAATAACGTTGTTCCTCAAAAGCCACGAGATCGCCCACCTCTAGTAACCATATTATGGATCGCTAAAATGATATGGTTATGCATTTTTCCCTTCGTCAGCAGTTGGCAGGCAATGAGGCTATCTGTGAAAATGGCAATTCTGTCATATTGTGACTCCTTGGCTATTTCTAGTGCTCGTAGTATCGCTAGCGATTCTCCAAACGAGGAGGAAGCTTTAAAGGGCAGTTTGTGTGCATGCTCTGTATTGTTAGAGTAATTGTATATGGCTATGCCTAATGTGACCAACTATTTCATAGCTCAAAGAAGTACAGGTTAGGTTGTTAAGTTAACGCCGCGAGCCGGTTACGAAATTTCCGAATGCGGCTAATTTCGATCCCTGAGAGCCCATTTGCTTCCATCTTAGGCTCGCGAACGTTGGACAGTCGAAAAGAAAGTGTGGACATGATTCCACTTCATCTTCTTCTTGACATCTGAAACAAAAGGATCAGTCGAAATTACTAGTCTCACCGCATGAATACCAATAGCACAATAGCCTGCCAGAACCCCCATCACTAGCTCTTGAGACGTAACGCGTTTTAAAGTGCCCTATAAAAACATATTCTGCAGCAGAGGAACGTCTTCTTTTCCTTTTTTCTGTAGAAATCGTCCCTTAACCAAAAGTTCCACATCATCACCCGACAATCCACTTTTTCCAGTTCCTTTAGAAGGTCGTCCACAACCGCAATTCAGAGCAGAGAGAGAACACCACCTTGTGGAGTGTTTCTTTTGACTCTGCACTGAGTGCAGACACTCCCCCACTCCGCCGCGACAGTTCTGTCACGAAGTAAGCTTATTAGGTTGGTTTCAACCCCAGATTATGAATATACTTGACTATTGCCTCTGGAGTGACATTGTTGAAGGCCCCCTCGATATCGAAAAAGGCTCTACTGCATAACTTTCATGCGTGAAGGCTTCCTCTGGCCACTTTACCAATGTGTGCAGGGCGGTATTCACCGACCTTTTCTTGCAATGAGCATATTGAGCTCTTGAAAGACAGTCACGAGGAATCGCGTTTCTTATGTACAGGTCTATCACTCTTTCTAGCGTTTTTAGCAAAAACGAAGAGTCTGATAAGCCTAAAATCCCTAGGGGAAACATGAGAGCCTTTTCCTGCCTTTGGGATGACCGCAAGACTGACTACCCTCCACGTTCACATAAATAGCCAACCAATTGCGCGACACCTTCAGAGTCCTTTGCAGCTGCGCAGGTATGATGCCATCGGCCCCCGGCGACTTTAATGGTTATCGCCCAGGCCATGTGGCGATCGTCCGGACGATCGGAGTAGTACAGAACCTGGGGGGAGATTCTGTAACGAGTTAGCGACAATTTTCGAATAGCTATCGCACTTTTTGACACATGATATAAATGTTTTTGCGTCGAAGCGATCCCAAAAATGTCGCTAACTGGTTATAGAATCTCCCTCCTGAAGTACAAAATATCGCAAAGAAGTACATTTGACTGTACTTCGAAGTACGAAGTACAAGAGCGAAAAAAGAAGTACTGTACTTCTGAGAGAAGTACGGTTGGTCACATTAGTTATGCCAGTAGTGGAATCAGACACTGATGCGTCTGTGAAAAAGTCTTAAAATTCTCACGTTCATAATCTTGTACCAATGAGTTGTAAATGGACCTAATCATTTCGCCTGAGATGTTGTCTTTTTTGTCTGGTAGGGTTTTCATTACTACGTTTAAATTATTGTGTGGTATCGTGCTACAGACCACGATAAGGCCGTCAAAGACATATCTGAATTCGTTTAAGACTAGGCTATAGATGGAGTTTGCTCTCGGGCTGTCATACAGTAGTGCTTTGAATGTTACTTCTGAGGTGAGATTGCTAATGATTTCTTTGGCTGTGAGTCATTTGGCCCGTTCACTTGGAGGCAGTAGACCCGCTTTTACAGAGGTTAGACATTTGAAAAGTTAGGAGTTGTTTTGAGATTTATTAAATGTATCTTTGTGGTGCTCGCTGATTGCCATGGATGGACTGATATGTCTACCTAGAAATTTTAGATTTTGTACCTGTTGAAGTGCTTGGTTGAAAGTCTTTTTGCTACCTTTGCAGACATGCAGGATCTTGGTTTTTTCGGGGTTAAAGGAGAGATTTAAGTTATTACAAAGTGTGTGGAAGCTATTTATCTTGTGTTGAACGTTCGTGGCTGCCTGATCATGGTCACTATGGAATGACAAAAGTACAAAATTGTCAGCAAATTGATACAATGTGGCCATGCTGTCTTCTACGGAATGTAATCTCTTGGTGTAAAGGGGGGAAAGACAACTGCCCTGTGACAGGCCATTGCAAATCTCCTTCCTCAATCATCATCGTTCTTAGCTTCAAAACATTCACACAATCGTAAGCGTTGCTGATGTCTGTTGAAGAGAGCGGGACTCTGTACCCTCGACACTTGTGACTCTGTATGCAAAGGAGTGCCTGGGAAGTGCGGACCTTTCTTCCAGTTGGTTTACTACCCTCTTCTTGATGACACTGTTGATGATCTTTCCACTTTTCCTCAATATCAATGTATATTTGAAAGTTTTCGGGGGTGGGGTGAGTCCTGCACTTCTTATACGCAATCTTCTTGAATCTAAACAGTTTCGCTAGTGAGTCATTTCACCACATCTTGTGAGTTCTATTGTTTGAGATCGTATAGGTGGCGGCCCTGACCTCTTCCTCAAGCTTGTGGTGTATCTCATTAATGTCGGGTTCTACGTTAATTTGTTGAAGGCTTTCTATAAGTTTGTATTTAGCTAGGAATTTCACTGCTGTGATATGAACTGCAGTGGATTCTATAATTATGGGTATGTGGTGACTGCCTCCAATAGTAACCAGGTCAGTTCTCCATGATAAGGGTACGCTGCAGTTAGTTGACGAGATCGAGTACTGAGCCATATACGGCCATTGCATTGCTTTTGAAGGTGTGCGAACCGTCATTTAGAGCAATGAAGCTAAAGTTGGATATAATTTTGTGTAAGTTGTTACCACGACAAGAGGTAATCTGGTCACCCCATGCCTTACCTTTGGCATTGAATTCTCCCAGGATCATGACATTTTCATATTTTTCAAGAAATGTGAGAAGCCTCAAAACTTCGTCTTTGAACGGCTCTGAGAATGGTCTGAGGAAAATATACTGCATATATGGTAAGGTTTGGTTTCAAGTTCTTTGTTTGTACTATAAGATGTATAAATTTTATTCTTTTATTAAGAATTATGGCCACCCCGCCATATCCATCGTCTCTATTTTTTCTATGATATTAAAATGAGTTTTATTCCTGTGCTAGTTCGCTAGAGGTGAAAATTTCGCTTAAACAAGCAATGTCAAAATTGTAAGTATTTAAATAAAATTCGATTGTATTTATATTAGCCTTCAATGACTGGAAATTGTATTGCAGTAATTTCTTTGGGTTGTGATTAGGGGAGTAGCGGGGAGCCGCCACTAATTGCCTCTAAGTCCTCTCGTATTTTTATTGAGTCGTATTTTTGCCTGAGTTTGGAGATTTCTTTAAGTGAGCCGCTTAACCGCTCATCTGCGCATATTGTTTGGGAGGATTTTGAACATATCTGTTACTAACCTTTCAAGCTCGGATACTTTCCCCTTTAGGTATTCGGGCTTGTGGAGTACAGACGAGGACTCAGTTCTTGTTTTTCTTTCTACCCTTCTTTGGGCTGATCTGGACTCTTTGGAGGCCTCTTGCCTGCCTCTGCGTGCTACAACATTAAATTTAAGCCTAGTCAGTCTTTTGTTGATGTTCACATCCCTGTCTTTAGTGGTCTCTTCCTCGTCAACTAGTTTGGGGAAGTCTGCTTCCTTCGTTGCTAATATGTAGGTCGAATTGATTTTCCCTGTTGTCGAAATATGTTTTTATTGTCTCGCGTCGAGACATCTTTTTGGCGGCCCTAACATAGTTGATGTTTTGTTGCCTTTCCCAGGTGGCGCATTTTCGTTTATCGGACGAGATGTGGTCGACACCTCCACACAGAATACACTTTCTTGCACGAACCTTCTTCGCTTTGGTCAAGTCCACATTTAGTGCACCTCTTCTTCGATTTGCACGCGAACTGTGTGGCCAAGCCTTCCACAGTTTAGGCAATGCTTTAAGGGGGATGAAAAAGTCGACATTAAGTTTGGTGTAATCTAGTATTAGTTGCGATCCCGTACGAGTCCGGACTAGTCAGAAATAGTCAAAATCAGTCAGATTTTAGTGAAGATTTTTTATTTTTTTTTTTTACAGTTTTACTAGTTTTAGTCCGGGGAATACGGGATTGCACCTATTATGTACTTGGGCAATCCCTTGCTTGTAGGTATGCCTCTTACCACACCATACGTTTCAAGAGCCGACCTCGGAACAAATGCCATAAGCCCTAGCTCGCTTAACTTTGTACTTAACAGAACATTATTGGCCGTTTTTAAACGTAACCTTGTACAAACTTTTCCCTATTGCGCAAATAAGTTCTATGTCTTTGAAACGTAGGTGTTTAATTTAATTAAATAGTTAGTCCATTGCAAGGTATCTACCATTGCGAGGTATCTCCAAAACCAAGTATACGCCCGAGAAATTTGCGGGTACACTGTCATAGTTGTAAGGGGTCGTTACGATTACTTTTTGCAGTCACTGTACGCTGAAATCACCACTATTCATGGTTAGCGGTTGTTGTTGTAGTTGTTGTAGCGGCTACAACAACCCCGCTCAGGTCGGTTGGTATCTCAGTCGTTGTCGTCAAGTTCCACTAACGGCAGCCCTAGGAAGCGTGCAGCTTCTGCGGGGTTGGTCCACAGGGACAAGGCCGTTAGGGTTGTCGGGTTTTCCGGGCATGCGAAGAGATGTTTCGAGTCATGTGGCGTCTCTCCGCATGCCGTACACTCATTTGGCACATCCTCATTCAATCTACTCAGGTAGGAGTTTAACCTGCTGCAGTAGCCGGAGCGAAGTTGTGCTAGTGTAGTTCGCGTCTCCCGAGGCAGATGAAGCTCCGTCTCGTCTGTGTCCGGGGGCGGTATGCCTAGACGGCATTCCCAGGTCTAGAGTCTACATAACTCGAGACTGACTCCCTGTGAATGCCGTTCAGGGCCAGTCGGTAAGCTGTCGGGTCCAGAGGTTGCTTGATGAACCTCTGGACTTCGTCCGTCAGTTCATATAGATGCCTCCTGACGTGCCTAGGCGAGGGCTCCTCTGCAAGCAGCTGTCTGTTTGGGTAGCCACTTCTGTGGCTCCCGACCAGGAACTGCTTGCAGAGCATGATGTTGTGCTCCTTTACGGGGAGCATTTGCGCCTCGCCGTGAAGATGGTGTTCGGGCGACATCAGGAGGCATCCTGTCGCTGTCCTGAGTGCAGTGTTCTGTGCAGTCTGTAGCTTCGTCCACTGCGGTTCTTGAGTGCCCGTTGCACTCCCGTTAGCTGCGTCGACGTTGACTTCAACCGCCATGTCACTACCACACATGTCCACATTTATAACCTCACAATTTTTGCCGTTAGTTATTTCTTTATTTTCTTCACCGCCCAACCCAAAATCTCTTAATTTTTTCAATATCATTATTCTTTAATAGTTTAACAATTTTTTCAAGACTGTCTCTCTTGAGCCTCTTGCCTCTGGCAACATTGGCATTAGAGAGGGCATCAAAATCTTCGGCCAATGACGCCCTCGACAGTGATGTCGACGACGCCATAACGGCTTTTACTTTTTTTGCTGCCGTCCAAAGCAGTCTTTCGGATTAGGGGACCACTATCCAAAAACAAAAAATTTTCACAGCCTCAGGGAAAGCAAAATCACTTACCCAAAAATGTATCTCCAATTTGATTTGTGGTGCTTAGTTGACCAGAACGTAATTAAACTTCCTCTAATCGCCAAAAGCGGAGCACAAAATGGCATTGAGTAGTCAAGCTAGCTACACTTGGTAGCACACAAGAATTAAAAAAACTGAATTATATTAATACTGCACACACAATTGCAAAAGCGCCAAGCCAAAGTCACAAATTATAATATTGCGCAGAACACGTCCAAACACACCCGAGGTTCAATCGCGAATGAGCCGCTTTCTTACAGTAACAATTTGAATTGCACTTTTGAAATTCTCAGTTTTGAAAAAAAAACCAAAACAAGATAGGTTTGATGCCTCTCGACCAGTTGAGAAAAAGTAGCACGGGCCCAAAGATTTCTATATTTGTAATTCATATTTATATTTTTTTATAAATCTCTCCAGGAACTAAACAAAAAATTCCCTGAACTCTTTACCATGCTGTTAACATCTTTGGCCACCTACACGAACTTAGCGCCACCTGTGCACGCAGGCAGTCAGCGCAGCAACTCGCCAACTCAACAGGGAGTCGCCGCCTCGAGCAGCTCACTATCCACGGTCGCCTCAACGACCAAATCGAAGTTTGGCTTTGTCCCGAACAAGGATCTAGTTAAGTTGAATCCCTGTCAAATTGTATTGGAAACTTTTCAAGCATTCCTCGGCAATCTAGAAATGGAACAAATCGCTACCGTGCTAACAGTGCACACCCAATTGGCCAGCAGTACCGATCTGAAAAACTACATTGAATTGCTAACACCAATTGCTATTGGGCTAGTGAATCAATTGCAAATCTCATCGAGCACTATGAAACAGGTCGTCACTGCGCTTAGCAAATATGTTGCATCACCATATGATGGTCAACGGATTGCAGCAGTGGGTTTGTTCTCACGTCTTGTGCCGCTGAAACCATGCGGAGAAATTTCTTCAGTGATTATGCTACACTTAAGCTCGGCGCTGAGTGATCCTAATGCCATTGTGCGTGGAATAAGCATACAAGGTTTAGGATACGTGGGAAGTCTGACTGAACACGATATCGAAAAGTATACGGAAACCGCAGTGACCGCACTGTTGAAAGGCATTGATGACACTGCTAGGTGAGTACCATTTTAATCAGTTGGGAATTTTAAAAACTTGTGCATTTTCATTGCAGTGACTGCCTTATAAATATTCCACTCGAAAGCATGCGCGGGCTAGCACGCATTTTACAGACATTGCCCAGTGATCGTCTAGAATCATTTCATGTCTCGTTGGCGATACGTATTCGGCCATTTTTCGGCAGCTATTCAATCGAGATACGCGAAGCGTCCATTATTCTCTTTGGCGATCTATGTGAGTCGAAAAAGGCACACGATGCCAATGGCAGCATTTCGCCGAATGCTTCCTCTACAGAGGCGCTGCGGGAGCAATTAATTGCAAACCTATTTCCAATTTTGCTGCATTTGAGTGAGGGAGATGCCACAATAATTAGAGTGAGATGGATTTTGTTAGACCTACTATGTTCGATGTCAACTTAAACATTTTCAGGCATGCAAAGGTACTTTACGAAAGGTTTGTGGCTTGTTGAATGCACCAAAAGTGAATGAAATGGCACAACGGCATCTAATCGACCATGGACAGTTGAACTATGGCGTTTTTATAGTCGACTTTGTTAAATTAATTGTAAGCAAGTTGATATTGTACTGGAGTTTTTTCTTAAGATACGGTTTTGTTTTCAGGCTATGGATTTGCCAGATTTTATACAGGACTTCATTGACTCGGCAATACCGAAATTGCGTAGCCAATGGGCAGAGGTGCGGGGCAGCGCTGCGATTGTAATAGGTGAATCGCTAATTGGTATTTGAATCAAATATGATATAATTACCTCAACTCTTGACAGGTATACTCCACAACTTCCTGCCGGAACGGAATACGCAAACCGAGTCCGTGGGAAATAAACTGGCCGCTCTACTAAAAGACGAAAATCATTTTGTTCGTGTTAAGGCAGCCACGGCATTGGGCTATTTCTTTGGAGACATTTGAAAGGAAAAAACCGTTGGCACTTCAGCTAGAAATCGGTAGTGATTTTTTTTAAAGCGAATAAGAGCATATGGCCTTATTCACAAAAAAATAAAGTAGGTATAAAAAGCTTTATAAAATGACGTTTTCATACATTTTTCAATTTATAAAGCTACTTTATTTTTTATGAATAAGGCTAGTAGAATTTTGAAAATGCAGTGTACCTTAAAGTATATTATATTAAATAGCACTGTGAATGCGTGTCAATGTGATTATAGAAAACTAGAATAATCTTTACTATATGGGACTTTTTCGTATACTGGTATATACATACGTACTTTGAACAAATGATTGTCGTATGTTACATTTGACGACTTTTGGGAAATCGCGATTGAAGTTTAAAGTCTGTTTTCTCGAAAACGTGATGGTAGATTCCTTTGAAAATTGTATATGCTGTTTCTAGCTTAAGGAAATATTGGAATTTATTATTAAAAAAATTACACAAAATCTGCAACATTTATTGCTAATTTTATTTACTCACACTTTGTCGTATGTTACAGTTGACAACTTGGTTGTGCTCAATTCACAAATCATATGGAGGATAACTTTAATTTCAGCTTTATTTGAACATCAAAATATATTTAAGGAAGCATAAGACAAGTCAGTTTTAAGCAAAAAACAAAACCGACTTCGATTCTCATATAAAAATTTAAGAGTACCGTTAATTTCTTCATGATCCA